TCTCGATCTCTTGACCTTGTGATCCACCCACCTCGGCCTCCCAAAGTGCTGGGATTACAGGCTTGAGCCACCGCGCCCGGCCTATTTTACTATTTTTTTAGAGATGGGGTTTCTCCATGTTGGTCAGGCTGGCCTCAAACTCCTGACCTCAGGTGATCCACCAGCCTCTGCCTCCCAGAGTGCTGGGATTACAGGCGTGAGCCACTGCGCCCCGCCTGACAAAGGTTTTTTTTGTTGCTGTTGTTATTTTTTTTGTTTTTGTTTTTATTTTTGATTTTGTTTTGAGTTGGAGTCTTGCTCTGTCTCGGAGGCTGGAGTTCAATGGCACAATCTTGGCTCACTACAACCTTCACCTCCTGGGTCCAAGCGGTCCTCCTGCCTCAACCTCCCAAGTAGCTAGGACTACAGGCATGCGCCACCACATCAGTCTAATTTTTGTATTTTTAGTAGAAATGGCGTTTCACCATCTCGGCCAGGCTGGTCTCAAACTCCTGACCTTGTGATCTGCCTGCTTTGGCCTCCCAAAGTGCTGGGATTACAGGCGTGAGCCACAGTGCCCGGTGACAAAGGTTTTTAAAGGAAAAAAATGAGAAGGATTATATAACTGTGTTGAAGTTATTATCATTTGCTACAAAGATGGAAAACAAAGAGGAAGCCAGTCCGAGGTTGGACAGGCAGTTGTGGGGCAGGTGTCCTTGTAGAAGTATTTTTTGTGTAAGATTGTGATGGCCTTTGTGCAAGGTTGTGGGTTTTACAGTCTTTTGTGATAGTTTCTGTTATCAAGCATGGCCTTTTCTAGCTCTGTTTATCAACGGCTTTTTTTGTTTGTTTGTTTTGTGTGTTTGTGTGTTTTAACAATAGTGACTCCATTTTGATTCTGACAGTTTTCACATAGATATGCTTTGCTAATAAGTGCCTATCATGGTATTCAGCTTCCTGGTGCCTAAGACAGAAATGAACGCCAATGGGAAAAACAGGAAGCCATCTGGAGAAATTTTTCTTTTTTATAAAATTATTGAAAGTGTATGGAAATTGTAAACTGTGAAATTTATGGAAAGAGTTCTGGTGAATTTACCTATAAAAATCATCATTTATTACACTTAAAGTTCTCCATAACTGTAATCTTGACAAAAAATACGTTTTTTTTCCAAAAGATTCTCTCCAGCATTTCCCATGAGAAATATCTGCAGCACATAACTAATATTTAATTCAGTTACTCATTTCCATGAGAAACTAATGTCTAGTCAATTCATTTCCAGTAATATAACCTAGTCAGGGAAAATATGAGAACCCAGAGTAGAGAAATGAGCACGTTCTGTGTGAGATGGTCTCTTCTCATATAAGTGTACTAACTGAGCCTTGGACATCAGCTGTGAAAGCAGCTGACCAACCCTGCCATTTCACCATCAAACCCCAGAATCTCAGTTCACGTGCTTTCTCAAATAAAAGCTTCACTAATTTGCACAGGGGACAGCAATACTGAAAAAATGCTCAGTATGTTTCTCATCAGCTAGTGCTAGATCTTCAAACCTCATGTCTCCCAGGGACACAGTACTATAGAGTGAATTTTAGTCCAGAAGAACTCCAATAGCTAATCTTACCAAGTCTTTTCTTTATCTATAAACTAAGATTAAGAATCCCACCTCAGGGCTGTTAAAATTGGAATTTCATTTGCCTGAAATGCTTTTTCCCCTGATAATCCTCAAGATTTGCCTCCTGGGAATACAAGAAGAAGTAATTAGGACCTTTCTGCACTAGATTTCTGTATCACTCTGTGGGAAGACTTCCTTCTTCCTCTTCTTACAGAGTCTGGTGTCAGAACTACCATTCTTTTCCCTCTTGTTGCAGACACAAGTTCAAAATGGGTTTATGGATAAATCTAACTCTGAAATTATTCTTGGAAATGTATCATCATCATTTGATTACAACTTCACCCTGTACCTTCTCTGTTGTTTTAGTACCTTTACAACTTGCGATTGGAGACCTACCTAGATGGTTTTAACTTCTCTTGAAGCTTACAGACTGTATTATTCATTTGGAATAGCCCAGGAGTTCCAGGCTGCAATAAACTATGATGAAAGAACTGCACTCCAGCCTCAGCAACAGAGCAAGACCCTGTCTATTAAAAAAGGAAGAGGAGGCCAGGAGCAGCAGCTCATGCCTGTAATCCCAGCACTTTGGGAAGCCGAGGCAGGTGGATGACCTGAGGTCAGGAATTCAAGGCCAGCCTGGCCAACATGGTAAAACCCCGTCTCTACCAAAAACACAAAAAATTAGCCAGGCATGGTGGTGGGCGCCTGTAATCCCAGCTACT